GTTGAAATAGGATCTCCTGGTAAAACTTGTGATATTTTGGAAAACGTAAGCCAGGTGTAAAAGGGGTTTGTGAAAGCCTCTCGACCTAAATGTAAACCGAACAGACTTGATCTAGTAATAGCCAAGCTACAGCCCAGACTCCCAACAGCTTATACATTTTACTTAAACAAACTGTACAGGTATTAAACTTTTCTGATTTTTTTTTTCATTGCTTTAAGCTCCTTTAACCTAAAAGTTCGTTTGGATATATAAAGTTGGCATCATCCGTCATCTCAAGGGTCGTATCACTCATTACTAAATTATTAACACTAAAACGTTGTGTTTTCAGAAATAGCGAAAGTATTTCTGGAGAAAGGTAACAAAGAATACAGACAAGGAGAAGCTAATAAGGCGATAAACTCCTACACGGAAGGACTTAAAGTGAACTGCAAGGATGAACGACTCAACGCCAAGCTTTACAGCAACAGGGCAACAGCTCATTTCCGTTTGGGTAACAATTTCATATCTAAATATATAAATCTCTCATGCAGCGTTACAAGATAACGGAATACACAATCTGCATCAAGAGAAGAAAAAAATCGAGCAACTGCAGAAAAGTAGCATAAAAACATAAATCGCCCTGCAGCGGATGAAAATTAAGCAAAGAAACGATCCGCGTTACATTTTAAGCAATTGTAATTTTTTAAGGCTTCTTTGTTGTAACTCCATATGATTATCACTTTTTTAAACCTTATTTCCTGAATCTCATAGCAAACTACGTGGAATGTCTCGATGATGCAACAGTTGCCGTTCAATTGGAACCCTCTTTAATCAAAGCTATTAGAAAAGGTGGGTGTTTCAGACATAAGCCATCAACATTCTATTCTCTGATTTCGTCAAAAGAGGATTGTGTGGTTTGTGGCAGGTGACTGCACCCCAAGTGTCAATTGTATCTGGTGTGTCAATGTCTGTTATGTGGGTAAAAAGCAGAAGAAAATGTCAATAAGCTCTCAAATACCGCTGCCTGGTTAGTTCACGTTGTAGAGCGCCGGAGGTCGAGGGTTCAAGCCCTAGACCGGACCAACACTCAGAGTCGTAAAATATCTGAGGAGAATGTGCTGTCACCCAAGCTATGACATCTGCAAATGGTCTGATATTATTGTCCCGGATATGAACGGAAGACCGTAAGCCCCGTTTCTTGCATCTTCTCTGTGACTCTTAGCAGGGGACGTTAAAAAACCCGGCAAGGAGGCACCTGAAAAATTCCCTTTCAAAAGTTAAACTGCTCAATGCAGTCTGCCCGAAAACTTCCCCGAAAAGTGCTGAAAAGCGCATAAGAGCACATTAAAATGAAGAATGCGCGAGATAAATTCATCGTTATCATTATCAATTGGTAGCCGCTTTGCATTAGCCATTGTTCCTTTTTAGTCCTTCTACAAGTTCAAATTTCCTTTATTATCAAAATCTTTGTTCCCAGCCAAATGACAAATTAAGTCCATTTTATCAATACTTTTACACCTTAACAGTGATCAATTACCTCGCACCACCAATTATTCTCTCCTTTTCAGGAGCCAGAGCTTGTGTCGAACTTTGCTGGTATAAAGAAGCAAGGAGCTGGTTGCATATGGGATTGACTGTATCCTTTAACGAATGTTTCAAACGTGATACGAGATGCAATGCAACTAATATTTCAAGAATAATCAATACGTTCCAGGCAGATTCTTCTACACATAATGCAAGCGATGTTCTCTTATACTGTACTGAACAGTTTAAAGAAGCTGAAATATTATTAAGGAGTTCTCTCGATTATTCCACGAAACTTTGCTTAAAAGAAAAGGCCATATTAACTAATTCCCAGAGTTTCTGCTGAATGCCCCTCATATTTCTCTTGAGACGAATCACCATGACGACCGAACCTAAACTAATAAATGCACTTCAGAGCCAGTCAACACTCTCGAATAACTTGAAATCAAATCTCTTCAAGAAACCCACGCTCGAATTATCATTCCAATTTGAAGGTTTTATCCAATACTCTCATTATTTTTAAAACACACATTTCCATTGCATTTTCGCAAATCCGCTCATAATTTAGCAGCCCTTGACACGTTTTAAGATTGAAAACAATAACGAACGTCTGCTTCAACTAATAAGGAAATCGAATGCCGAACTAAAAGTCAAAGCAAACACTTATGCCAGTCTCGGATGTACTTACCATAATGTTGGGCAGTTCAACACAGCAATCGTGTACCTTCAACAATGTCTAGAAATTGCCAAAGAACTGGGAGACAAGGCCGGAGAGGGAACCAGTTATGGCAATCTCGGCAACGCTTATCAAGGTCTAGGAGAGTTCAAAACAGCCATCAAGTACCATCAACGTCATTTAAAAATTGCTAAAGAAGTAGGAGACAAGGCCGGAGAGGGAACCAGTTATGGCAATCTCGGCAACGCTTATCAAGGTCTAGGAGAGTTCAAAACAGCCATCAAGTACCATCAACGTCATCTAGAAATTGCTAAAGAAGTGGGAGACAAGACCGGAGAGGGAGCAAGTTATTGCAATCTCGGCAACGCTTATGACGGTCTAGGAGAGTTCAAAACAGCCATCAAGTGCCATCAACGTCATCTAGAAATTGCTAAAGAGGTGGGAGACAAGGCCGGAGAGGGAGCAAGTTATTGCAATCTCGGCAACGCTTATCATGGTCCAGGAGAGTTCAAAACAGCCATCAAGTACCATCAACGTCATCTAGAAATTGCTAAAGAAGTGGGAGACAAGGCCGGAGAGGGAGCAAGTTATTGCAATCTCGGCAACGCTTATGACGGTCTAGGAGAGTTCAAAACAGCCATCAAGTACCATCAACGTCATCTAGAAATTGCTAAAGAAGTGGGAGACAAGGCCGAAGAGGGAAGAAGTTATGGCAATCTCGGCAACGCTTATCAAGGTCTAGGAGAGTTCAAAACAGCCATCAAGTACCATCAACGTCATCTAGAAATTGCTAAAGAAGTGGGAGACAAGGCCGGAGAGGGAAGAAGTTATGGCAATCTCGGCAACGCTTATCAAGGTCTAGGAGAGTTCAAAACAGCCATCAAGTACCATCAACGTCATCTAGAAATTGTTAAAGAAGTGGGAGACAAGGTCGGAGAGGGAAAAAGTTATAGCAATCTCGGCAACGCTTATGACGGTCTAGGAGAGTTCAAAACAGCCATCAAGTACCATCAACGTCATCTAGAAATTGCTAAAGAAGTGGGAGACAAGGCCGGAGAGGGAAGAAGTTATGGCAATCTCGGCAACGCTTATCAAGGTCTAGGAGAGTTCAAAACAGCCATCAAGTACCATCAACGTCATCTAGAAATTGCTAAAGAAGTAGGAGACAAGGCCGGAGAGGGAACAAGTTATGGCAATCTCGGCAACGCTTATCAAGGTCTAGGAGAGTTCAAAACAGCCATCAAGTACCATCAACGTCATCTAGAAATTGCTAAAGAAGTGGGAGACAAGGCCGGAGAGGGAGCAAGTTATTGCAATCTCGGCAACGCTTATGACGGTCTAGGAGAGTTCAAAACAGCCATCAAGTACCATCAACGTCATCTAGAAATTGCTAAAGAAGTGGGAGACAAGGCCGGAGAGGGAGCAAGTTATTGCAATCTCGGCAACGCTTATGACAGTCTAGGAGAGTTCAAAACAGCCATCAAGTACCATCAACGTCATCTAGAAATTGCTAAAGAAGTGGGAGACAAGGCCGGAGAGGGAAGAAGTTATGGCAATCTCGGCAACGCTTATCAAGGTCTAGGAGAGTTCAAAACAGCCATCAAGTACCATCAACGTCATCTAGAAATTGCTAAAGAAGTGGGAGACAAGGCCGGAGAGGGAAGAACTTATGGCAATCTCGGCAACGCTTATGACAGTCTAGGAGAGTTCAAAACAGCCATCAAGTACCATCAACGTCATCTAGAAATTGCTAAAGAAGTGGGAGACAAGGCCGGAGAGGGAGCAAGTTATTGCAATCTCGGCAACGCTTATGACGGTCTAGGAGAGTTCAAAACAGCCATCAAGTACCATCAACGTCATCTAGAAATTGCTAAAGAAGTGGGAGACAAGGCCGGAGAGGGAAAAGTTATGGCAATCTCGGCAACGCTTATCACGGTCTAGGAGAGTTCAAAACAGCCATCAAGTACCATCAACGTCATCTAGAAATTGCTAAAGAAGTGGGAGACAAGGCCGGAGAGGGAAAAAGTTATGGCAATCTCGGCAACGCTTATCAAGGTCTAGGAGAGTTCAAAACAGCCATCAAGTACCATCAACGTCATCTAGAAATTGCTAAAGAAGTGGGAGACAAGGCCAGAGAGGGAAGAAGTTATGGCAATCTCGGCAACGCTTATCAAGGTCTAGGAGAGTTCAAAACAGCCATCAAGTACCATCAACGTCATCTAGAAATTGCTAAAGAAGTGGGAGACAAGGCCGGAGAGGGAAAAAGTTATGGCAATCTCGGCAACGCTTATGACGGTCTAGGAGAGTTCAAAACAGCCATCAAGTACCATCAACGTCATCTAGAAATTGCTAAAGAAGTGGGAGACAAGGCCGGAGAGGGAAGAAGTTATGGCAATCTCGGCAACGCTTATCAAGGTCTAGGAGAGTTCAAAACAGCCATCAAGTACCATCAACGTCATCTAGAAATTGCTAAAGAAGTGGGAGACAAGGCCGGAGAGGGAAGAAGTTATGGCAATCTCGGCAACGCTTATCAAGGTCTAGGAGAGTTCAAAACAGCCATCAAGTACCATCAACGTCATCTAGAAATTGCTAAAGAAGTGGGAGACAAGGCCGGAGAGGGACGAAGTTATGGCAATCTCGGCAACGCTTATGACAGTCTAGGAGAGTTCAAAACAGCCATCAAGTACCATCAACGTCATCTAGAAATTGCTAAAGAAGTGGGAGACAAGGCCGGAGAGGGAAGAAGTTATGGCAATCTCGGCAACGCTTATGACGGTCTAGGAGAGTTCAAAACAGCCATCAAGTACCATCAACGTCATCTAGAAATTGCTAAAGAAGTGGGAGACAAGGCCGGAGAGGGAAGAAGTTATGGCAATCTCGGCAACGCTTATCAAGGTCTAGGAGAGTTCAAAACAGCCATCAAGTACCATCAACGTCATCTAGAAATTGCTAAAGAAGTGGGAGACAAGGCCGGAGAGGGAAGAAGTTATGGCAATCTCGGCAACGCTTATCAAGGTCTAGGAGAGTTCAAAACAGCCATCAAGTACCATCAACGTCATCTAGAAATTGCTAAAGAAGTGGGAGACAAGGCCGGAGAGGGAAGAAGTTATGGCAATCTCGGCAACGCTTATCAAGGTCTAGGAGAGTTCAAAACAGCCATCAAGTACCATCAACGTCATCTAGAAATTGCTAAAGAAGTGGGAGACAAGGCCGGAGAGGGAGCAAGTTATGGCAATCTCGGCAACGCTTATCAAGGTCTAGGAGAGTTCAAAACAGCCATCAAGTACCATCAACGTCATCTAGAAATTGCTAAAGAAGTGGGAGACAAGGCCGGAGAGGGAAGAAGTTATGGCAATCTCGGCAACGCTTATCAAGGTCTAGGAGAGTTCAAAACAGCCATCAAGTACCATCAACGTCATCTAGAAATTGCTAAAGAAGTGGGAGACAAGGCCGGAGAGGGAAGAAGTTATGGCAATCTCGGCAACGCTTATCACAGTCTAGGAGAGTTCAAAACAGCCATCAAGTACCATCAACGTCATCTAGAAATTGCTAAAGAAGTGGGAGACAAGGCCGGAGAGGGAGGAAGTTATGGCAATCTCGGCAACGCTTATCAAGGTCTAGGAGAGTTCAAAACAGCCATCAAGTACCATCAACGTTGTCTAGAAATTGCTAAAGAAGTGGGAGACAAGGCCGGAGAGGGACAAAGTTATGGCCTTCTCGGGATTGCTTATCATGGTCTAAAAAAGTTTAAAACAGCTATCGAGTACCTTCAACGTGATCTAGAAATTGCTAAAGAAGTGGGAGACAAGGCCGGAGAGGGAAGAAGTTATGGCAATCTCGGCATTGTTTATTGCAGTCTAAGACAGTTCAAAACAGCAATCGAGTACCATCAACGTCATCTAGAAATTGCTAAAGAAGTGGGAGACAAGGCCGGAGAGGGACGAAGTTATTGCCTTCTCGGCGAGATTCATTTCAGACAAGGAGAGTCGAAAATGGCAATTGAGTGTTATCAACGTCACCTAGAAATATCCAAAGAAGTGGGAGATAAGACTGGAGAGGCGTGCTCACTCTGTTCCCTTGGAGTGAGTTTTGAGTGCCAAGGAAGTCTTATGAGGGCCTTTGACTATTATTACTCGAGTGTAGAATTGTATGATGATATCAGGGCCAGTCTTCAACTCAACGATCAGTGGAAGATTTGTTATCGTAATCAGCACCAAGTAGCATACAAAGGTTTGTGGCGTATAAATCTCAATCGAGGTCAAGTTGTGAAGGCTCTTCTTGCCACAGAGAAAGGACGTGCTCAAGCTCTGAGAGATCTCATGGTCACAAAATATCAGCCTGGAGATTCTTTAACGCCCAGCGCATCCCGCATTTCTCTGAGGTGGGTTCCATTGAGCACAGTTTTCATAGCCATTAATGGACCATGCGTTTACTTCTGGGTTTGCCTCAGTGAAAATAATATCCAGATGAGGCAAGTACACGTCAACAATTATAAGTTTGAGGATGAATTGGAAGTTTTCATCCAGCACCTGAACAAAACTGCTCTTAAGGAAATCGGTGCAAAAGGTACTATTACAATCGAAAATCCTCCGCTTGACTCGCTGACAGAAGAGGAAGTGGCCAATGATGTGATCCGAGTTGATGTGAGGCACTCCCAATCAAGTGCTTTAAAGAAGCTGCATGACATCATCGTTACTCCTATTGCTGACCTGATCGAAGGCAACGACGAGATCACATTCGTTCCTGAGGGGCCATTTAGCCTTGTACCTTATGCAGCGTTGCAGGACTCCAACTCATCATATCTAAGTGATTCTTTCAGAATTCGTGTGCTTCCCTCTCTGACGACCTTGCAACTAATTCATGATTGTCCAGCTGACTTTCACATGAAGACTGGTGCATTGCTTGTCGGCGACCCATGTTTCAAACATATCATCTATGAGGGAGGACTTTTGGTGCAACTTCCAGGAGCAAGGAAAGAAGTGGAGATGATCGGACGTATCCTCAATGTCTCCCCTCTCACTGGAGAAATGGCAACAAAACATGAAGTGTTAAAACGAATATCATCAGTGGCGTTAGTTCATATTGCCGCGCACAGTAAAATGGAAACTGGAGAAGTTATCCTGGCACCAAACACCACAAGAGATAACCCTCAGCCGCAAGAGAAAGACTATCTACTGACGATGAAAGATGTCATACAAGCTGGGTTGCGGGCACGTCTGGTTGTACTTAGCTGCTGTCACACTGCTCGTGGGGAGGTCATGGCCGAGGGTGTTGTCGGCATGGCGCGTGCACTTTTGGGTGCCGGTGCCAGATCTGTTGTGGTAACCTTATGGGCGATTGGCGACGAGGGAACCCTGGAGTTCATGAATTTCTTCTACGATGCACTTTCTGAAGGCAAGAAGGCCAGTGAAGCTCTCAATCAGGCCATGAAGTGTATGAGAGAAATTGAAAATTTCAAGGAGGTTTGGCACTGGGCACCATTTGTACTCATTGGTGACGACGTCAACCTGGATTTCGAGGAGATTTAGGAGCTGCAGCAAGTAATAATTCTGTTGATACATTCTATTCAATACAAAGTTACATTAAATCATAATCTTTGCTCATATGTGAGCAGTGATACTTGCGAGTTATTTTCCTTTCAGTTGGGTTACGAATTTATCTTTTGCTCCGGCAAATTGAGATGCAGTACAATCAAGTGGACACGTTTACGATGATAACATTCTTTTTTGGAAACATGATGGGAGTAAAATAGCAAATTTCTTTTAAAACAATCCTGTTGTGCAATGTATCGTTTCATGTGCTAAGAAATATTTCATGGCAACTCAACTATCTTCCCTAAACTTAGACTCTTTTATTTTTCAGTTAAGGCAGTTAGCATTGGAATCCTAGGGAGTTTTCGGATACCTACAAATGCTGATATTTGGACCAGAAACCAGTAAGCTACCGATGAAACCTTTGTCAAGAGTCTTCTTTTCAAAGCAGGAAGAACCAAAAGACGGCCAAAGTCAAGTTTAACAAGAGAACAGATTTTCATTGATTCAAAAGTTGCCTTTTTGCTTGTCTGAACTGCTTTTACGAGCTTAATCTTTGACATCCTTCTCAAACTACTGTTTGTTTGGTTTTTTTTTGTTTTCGTATGATGTCTTAAAACTATCATGACTAACTATGTGAGAAGTTATTTTCAGTCTAAGTATTTTCTACGGAGACGATTGGGACGTAACATTTATGTCGAAGTTGAAACGTCTTGAAAACGTTTTCCAGAGTTTTTTACAGACTTTTTCTCAATCGGTTTAGTCTCATGAGTGATATGAAGCTATTACAGCTATGTGCGTGTGTAGAGAATTTCCATAGGAATTGGAGAATAATCAGTTGTCCGATTACTCGATTGTCTTAGTCTATGTCAGATGGAAATTGTGATTCACTTTTCGAGGATTTATACTCAGTCATTGGTACTTAAAGTTAGTTTCTGTCAATCAGAATTTGGTTTCTCTGGACTTAAAATGACAGATTTTGGCCGTAATGGCAAAGATTTACTCTTGGTACTAGTTAATTTTCTGGGATTTCTCCTTTAATTTTGAATGCGATAAATTGTGTTATTTTTTACAAGCAGAACGATGCATTTTAAGTATATTGTTTAAACTAATCGTCCAATGGCAAAACGAGAAGTTTTATTTTATAATTTTAGTTATGGCTTACAAAGCAAGCTCAGAACGAGCTAGAAAGTTGAAGCCACATGATTTTATTTAGTTTCTCCGATTAGATTGTTTACTTACTATCTGAGTACATTAAACTAACATTTAAATTTCAAACAATGAAACAGGTCGCTTGGTATTTTGTTAAAATGGAAGAGGAAATCAATAAGAAAGGGAAGAAAATTCCTGCATCAACCTGCATAAGCCATTTCTTGTCGTTTGAATTGGTATTCGCTTAATAACTTTTGCCCATTTCTTTGAACAGGTTTACTGAATGAGAGATAAACTTCGATATTTTCTGACTCTAAAACTGCTAATATCGATCATTGGCAGCCGTTTCTTAGGATGTCACGCGACGCACTTCTTTAGCACGTTATGTGACAGATATGATGTTTTGTCACATCTTTTCGTTTGGAGTAGTGAGCGCACCTATGTCTCATTCGCTCAAGCTCTTCCCATTTCCTTGGATAGAGTTATTAAGTGAGATATAAACTTCGATATTTTCAGATTTTATATCTGCCAGCTTCACTGGCAGCCGTTCCTTAGGATGTCACGCGACGCGTTTTTTTTAGCATCTAAAGCGACATGATGTTTTAGTCATATATCTTTGAAGGGGCAAGAAAAAAGAAATTACCTTCCACTCTGGGAGATGGTGCTTTATTCTGTTTATAGAAAACATCCTCATCATGGGAGGCACCCTAGGTCGGTGTGGTTCCCCGAGTGTAAAAAATATTTATGATACTTTTTTCCACGATTGCAAACTTAACTAAAACAACCTGTTAAAAAACCGAAACTTTCTTAAAACTTAGGGCCGACCGATAACGGTTAAAATTGTAGCCATTTTTCTGCTGCAGCTAACCCAGAATAACACTAAATAACACATCGTAGGAGGGAAAGATTTTTAAAATTAAGTTTTTCAACAACAAAGGGTTCAAATTTGTCAATTTTTACGCCTAATAGCTGGATTTTCGACCGATTTACGGCTAACGGTTAATCCCATGGAGACCCTCGACTGGGTGACGCGCAAGATGTGAAATAAAAACTTTTTTAGCATTTGGAACTCGAATTTAGAGCGCTGGTTTATGAGGGGTAAGGAAAAACCGGGAAAAACAAACTGCGGAAAAATCGTGGAGGTGAGGGTCAACCTGGGAGAGACGGGCATGGGGAGAGTGTTGTCCCTACGCATTGCTGTTCTGTTCAATCTGAGATGCACACGCAAAAAAAAAATATATATATATGAAGCTCACGTTTGGCATACAAACAAAAAATTGAGCAAAAAGTCATTGCTGCTAGCAAAAAAAAGCACTCTGGCATGGCTTAGATGATACAACAACAATAGCCTTACAAGCATCAGCACTGCACTGATGAGGCCCAGAAGGCCGAAACAGTACTGTCTGCAGTTAGTTATATATATATATATATATATATATATATATATATCTTACGAGATATTCACCGATATCAAGGCAAGCAGGGATAAATTTCCTTCCCTCGTTAGTACCTTGTACCGGATCCGAAAAGTCAGTAAGCCCTGATATTTTGACTTCACTGCAGATCTAAAAAACTGCGACAACGTAAATGTTTCAGCAGAACATCTCTACTGACGATAGCATATATTAAAATCATTTTCAAAAAAGAGCCATGGGAAGGGGGGAAGGGTGAGTCGAGGTTCCGTTTGTCCCTTGGGGCTGGGAGTATAGACGGCTACGTGGTTAGAGGACAGATTCTCAAGAATCTTAGAGCTACGATTTCACAAGGTAAAGATAAGAATTTCCCTGAGTAATTGCTGGTCTTAGGCTTCTTTCGTCTTCCTAGATTTTCTCCTCGTGCTTCATAACTCTACTCCATCTGACCACCCTACAGCGGTTTTTAGTATACCACAGAGGTGAATAGAGCTCTTAGCGTGGGCTGATTGGCTAATTCGGAATTAATAGTCGAACCTGTGTTAAGCGGTCGGTTGTCAAATTCCCGAATTTTTTCCTCTCATGCATTGTCACTTTCACCGCTTTTCAGCGGTGGTCTCTATTAAGCGATTGTGGTCATCCTTGACTGAGTCCCATCGGCCTGTTCGGGTTGTATGGTACGGTTACTTAGGGCCGACCACTCGAATAAAACGACGAATTCTCTCTGAAGTAAAATTTATTCCATATTTGTCTCCCAAAATCAGTGTTAGTATTTAGAGTTCAAATGTCCTCAACGCATTGCAAATTATTTTTCTTCTTAGGACTGTTTGTATCTGACAAATGTTACTAAAGAAAATTAGGCAAATCATTTCCTTAGTAATTACCAAGAGGTTCAACTATTAGAATTCTAATTAATTGTTTTGTTTTTACGCTGCATCATCATCGTTTTGTTGATGTTATTCGATACATTTTTGAGCGATTTTTAAAATAAGCTTCACATGAAAAAGAAATGATAAATTAGGGTACAAAATGTTGTTTTCTTGCCTTTTGTTGTTAACCTGTATTAAACGGTGATAACACTCAATGATAACACTCAGTTACGGGTTAAAAACGGTTGCTCGATTGTACCGTCCTCGTAAATTTGTGAATGAATGAAATGGTTAGTTATGACACAAAAAAGACGAGTTTCTTGATGTCATTATCCTCTGGAGCGTACGCCGGTATTTTCGCAAGTTCCCGCCGAGATTTCCCCGGGACACCTGTCTAGATCTCTCTCGGGATGCCGGTGAGGAGATTTGTACCAGGAAGCCAGCGGGTACTCGGCCGGGATCCCCGCGCGGATAAAAACGAGCAAACAAAATTGAATGAAATCCGGTTTCGCCGGTAGTCCCACCAATCCAATATTTCACCTCCACCTCACTTTCCACTTCCGCCAAGTTTTTTTGGAGAAAGATCAGAGGTCTTCACGATGTTGGAGTTCGCTAGTTGTATATGAATATATTCGCACGTGTGAAAGAAATCGGCCTTCGCCAAAACACTCATGAGGTTAATGCTCACAGCTGTCTGTTAACTACGTATTCTCTTTCTTGCCGTTGGTTCTTTGCCCCTCAGTTCCAAACCCACAACTTCCTCCCCAAATCTTTCCCCTAACCACGGACCTCATTAATTCACAACATTATTTGGCATCGTGTGCCAATTTTTACTTTTCTTACTTTCAAAAAACAAAAATCTTCCGCTTAAAACGCCGAAGCAAACCGCAATATATATTTTTTCTCTTTTTTTCCCTTCCTATATACTTGGCTTTTAGCCCAACGTAAACTGCTTGCTCTTTTTGTATACAGCTATTTCAATTTACGTTGTCGGATCAAAGCCTCAAGCCTACAAGACAAGACCGAAGGGGAATATGGGATCTTAATCTGTTCTTGTTGCTCTTTGTTAAGACGCGCAAGGCAATACTATATTTTTTTCAGCTTTTTTCCCGACAACCCCGAAAGCCTTAATATCTACCCACTTGGCTTTCGGTCTTGTCCCGTAACGTAAACTGCTTTGATCCTCAACGTTTGTATATATTACTTTCCAATACCTGATATATTATCTTTTAAAAAAACCATCAAATCCAAATGTACCAAAGAACATTAATCAATATTTAGGATCCATTATCGTTTACAGAGAAATAGATTTACAAAAAAACTCATCCTAAATTGTAAATGTTACCATTTGCCTCTCCATGTTTGCCAGATAATATAATTCCCATTTCCGAAGCCAGCAATAAAAATCCACAATTTTAAATTGTTTTTCAATAAGTACTTTGTGTGCTTCCTTGCTCATTTCTCTACCACAATCTACGTGTTTAATAAAATTTAGCCCATAATTTAGAGTAGCTTTCATTAGGGGAGTAACATTTTGACTCAAAAATTTAAAATACAAAAAAAATAAATAAATAACAACAACACCTAGATACAGAATTAATTATACTATGGTAACAAACGAGGGAGACCTTCACCCCAAGCTATAGCAAATCTCCGGAAAAGTGAACCATAAAGAAAGAACAGTGTTCTTCCTTCTGAGTTAGTCTCAAAGTTTTACACTGGAACGTCAAAGTTGACGCTTCCAAGAGTCACAACAGATGCCGTGAAATGGCGGCCTTGGCGGCAGTACTTGATAAAAGATGGGTTGCGTAGGAGAGTCACGGCCAGGAACCAGCGGTTGACAGCCTTTTGAGACATGCGCGGCTGACGGGGCTTACGACTAAAGCCTGAACGACAAAGAGAGAGGAACGGCAATATAGGCTGCGTTTGAGAGGTTTGGACGAGATCTGGAGGGACTTAATCGAGTATTTCAAGTTAATTACCCTTCAGAAAAATTAGTTCATGAAAACAAAGGAATCATAGCAATAGAGAAGATTGGCCAAAAGAGAGAAATTTTTCTCGTACTTTGAGTAAGAAGGGAGACAA